TCTGCTGAAGGCCTTAAAGGATAATAATCATTTTAGATGAGCTTCGTTTGATATTCTATCTCTAAATGAGATTTTCAGTATTCTTCCAAAAAGCCACATTTCTACTGCTTTTAAGATTCTGTGGAATTCTGCTGTCAATAGTTTGGGGGAAAGGATAAAGGTAATAAAATAATTTACTGAAACTGGAACCATGCCACCTTGCATGCAAAGCTCCTTGACCAAGGGGTGGGGTAGTGTCAATTGAAGCTGAAGGAAAGGGAATGAAAAACAGAAGTGTTTTTTCTAACAATAAATTGTTTTGATAAATGTGATTTTTTAACCAATGGCTGCTCGAGTGAGTTGAAATCTGAAATCCTTTTGTTGACCACCAAAATTTTTTAGGTAAATCAAAGCCAACCTTAGTTATAAAAATCCCTGCAATACGAGCATCGACAAGTGTAGGAGATGTAGTGCCTGAAAAACTGATTGAGTATGGACTCAAAGAAGCAGTCATGAAACTTCTCTACAATGAAATCTTGACAACCAAATTGTCATTTTCATGACAGAATTAAGTCTTATTTTCACCCTGACTCTTGTAACAAAATAGACGTTTCCATGACAGAGAACAAATACTGTTTTAAAAACAATACTCTATATTGAAGACACTGAAATCTGAAGGCACAAGCAGATTCTGTCACAAACTTCAACCACACACATCAAATCACAAGAACTATTAAGAACATTCACATTTTATATCTTCACGGTGCCCTTTTTAACTGGGGTTAGCCTCACTGAAAACCTTCTTTGTAATTTTCACTGTTTTGTATACACTGACATTTTTCTTTTGATATTTTATGTCATTTGATTGATTTTGATTGTAAATTTGATCTTTTTCCCACAGCTACCATTGAGCCTTATTTTAGAAAAAATAAGATACTTGTCCAAGAATTTACTACCCACTTTCCCTGGGCCCACAAACCACCAAATGTGGGCATCTCTAGTATTTAGTAAAATTTGCTTTTGTTTTATTTCAATAAAATTGATTTGGTTTTATATTTCACTGAGTATCTCTCATTGTCTTTTATGGTGCACTTTGTTGTCACTTGATCTACATTCTCCCCAATCTCTTTTATTTTTAACCAAACCCACAAAATATACATTTCTTTTTTCCCTTTTTTTCAAACATAGTCCAGGATTCAAAAGTAAAGAAGATTGGTCAGATGTTATTGTAATTAGTGATGAAAGTTAAAAACAAAATGGAGGCAGGAAGCAAAAGGTTAACACTTGTACAATATACCCAAAGAAGATTGGAAAACCAACTGGCTGATATAATGGGTTTGAAATAAACATAAGTATCTAGTCTTACATTAATGTTATTGGTCCTGACCTGCCATCTCAGCTTCAATCACTTTCCCATTGCTGTAACATAGCTTTCCAGTTCCTTTTCTATAAATACTTTCATGGTAATTGTTCTGATGAACTTTCTGCTATGATACCTAGTCTTTAGGAATTTAATCACAGTACTAGATTGGCAGATAGGTCTCATCATTTTACAGTTGAAATGGCTAGATGTTACTGTAAATTCTATGCTAAAAGTTTCTTCTATCATATTTCTTGCTTGTGAAATTCTCTTCCAGCTTTTTGCTTCCCAATCAACTTTGATCTTTAAAAATTTAAATGTCAATTGTTATCTACTCTCTTCTGTTCTTGTTCTTTTATTGTCCTCCCTCTTTAATAGTGCATCTTACTTTTCATATTCTCTAATACTCTTATATCTTAGTGGCTTTATTGTCTTGCTCGAGGTGAAATGACTAAAAAAATAATTGAGGATGCTAAACAAACCAATAGATGAAATTGTTAACTATGCTGACCCTTGTGGTCCTACTGAGGGTTGAACTCACCATCTTTGGCTAACAAATCTCTGAAGATATTAGACCCCTCACTCATCAGGTTAATGGATAGGTTTTAAGCAGTAGCAATAGCAGGCTTGTCTCCCTTCCTGCCAAAATAGATTTAACTGTGAGGCATTATTTAAGTTTACTGAAATTTCAAGATCCTGTTTCATCAGAAATTATGATATCTAAAAACTTTAGACATCATTCGTTTTGTGGTAGCTTCAATCATATTTAACATTGTGTCGTTCTCACATTTTGAGCAATTTAAAATCATAATCAAATTCAGAATTCTTTTCTGCTTTTAAGATTTGCATAACTGTTTTAAGAAATAAAATTGTAACAGAATAGATTCCACTAAAAATGTGAAAACTTACTGTCTTTTTCATATGAGTTTGTAGCATCGTTAGTTGGACATAAGTTTGGAATGACAGTCCCCAACGTTTGGAATCCTGATACATTAAATCCTAAAAGAAAAATAAAAAAAAAAATGAAAGAAATCAATAAGTAAATGAAATATTATGATGACAGAGAATACAAAATCTTATCTAAAAAGAGAATTTGTGTCTTTTGTGCTGTCAAAAAAGAAAATCTGAATCAAGATCAGGCCTCAAAATATTGTAATTGTTTGCACTTCCTTACCAGTCTCGACCAATCACAACCTTTCTTACAACTTTGACCAATCACAACCTTTCTTACAACCATGACCAATCACAACCTTTCTTACAACCATGACCAATCACAACCTTTCTTACTCCACTTAAAATAACTCTGCTTTGGATCACAGATTTGCTTGGCTCTTGATGGGCGAAGAGGTAGTTGTACGTCATCACGTGAATTATTGACTCTTGATTTACACTCACTGGCATTTTCTGACATTGGACTTGCGAGAATGATTTTTGATCCTTGGAATATGAACCACCTTATTCCAATTTAATACAAATATATTTGTTGATTAAAGGAGATGTTATTACATAAAATATGCACCTGTCATTCAATTATTACTGAAATTTTTTCAGTCATAAAATAGAATGAAATAATTAAAAAAAAAAAGAAGAATATGAGGTCAATACCATATATGTGCGGAAGGGGTCTGAAAAGTTTTTAACCTGATCCCCTTCCCAAAATCTAACCATCTAAATAAACATCATAATTTCTTTAGAATTCCTTGGTTAAGCTGATAACTTTTCAATTACTCTTTGTACTAAAAGTCTAATTTTGTTTATTTATATGTATCCTCAAAGTAACCAAAATGCTGAATTGTCATCAGAGGCCCTGTAAATATTAATTCTCAATGTTCAACCCACCTTAAACTACCCCCCCAAATATATTCTCTGCTATAATATATGATGTCATCATTGCAAATAATGCAAAAAGTGAGACTTTGAGATCTGATATTTATGGGGCTGGTTGGTTATGTTGAATACTAAAGAGTTAGTTAAGATTACTATGTCACTAAATTCTCAAAACAACTAAGCTATTGTGAGTTCAATCCCTGAGTCAGGTAGTAGACATTCAGATATAATGGAAACAAGTCTAGCAATAACTGAGCAGTGCTAAAAATACAAGACGAAAAATCCTGGACATGGACACTGGCACAAGAACAATCTACTCCACAGATTAAAATATAGTGTTAAGTTCAAAATTCCTTGAAGATAAACAAACACCTGAAGAAGGCTGACGGACAACGGCTGAAACTTTGTAATAATAACAAAGATGGGGACAACAGTAAATAAGGATAGTTTCTTATCGCAAAAGTTAAAATAGAATTTTTTTAAAATTCTTTAATTTTCCTTGATCATTCGAGATCAGTAGGTGCCATCGACTGATGCATCGTTCGAGATCGCTGGGCATCATCGACTGATGCCATCGTTCGTGATTGCTGAGCACCATCGATTGATGCCATCGTTCGTGATTGCTGGGCACCATCGACTGATGCCATCATTCGAGATCGCTGGGCGCCATTGACTGATGCCATCATTTGAGATCGCTGGGCGCCATCGACTAAAAGCATCGGTCGAGATCGCTGGATATCATCAATTGATGCATTATACATTTTTCCAATGATATAGGCATCATTCTTTCATGATTTGAATCTAATGACTAATTGGTGATTCCAAAATTAATTCAGTTACATCATTTCCTTGAGTATTTATCTGCAAATGAAGCTGGAAGAACAAGCCCGTGTTATGTCTTTATGCCTATGTCTTCAAAAGAAAAGGGACACAAAAAGATGACATCTCAGAGCAAAGAATACATGAAGCCATTGTGCAAAAGATGCTTCATATTATACTGTTAAAAAAATATTAAATTTAAGAACTTAACATTTGTTTTAATTCCCTTTTTTCCTTATATTTTAATCCAATTTTTTATAGTTTATAATTAAAAGCAAAAATAAGATTTTAGAAGGAACTAGAAACCCAATAATAGTATAAATTTCAGTATTTAGGCAGAGATGTTAAATGTATAGAGCTGAAGTAGAATTTAGAAAGAACAGGAAAGCCAATCCTAAACTGGAAACAAGGGATGAACCTGTACTCCTGTTCAAAAGACAAAACAGGAGTGTGAACTAGACAATAGGTGAACCTATCATATTATAAAAAAGAAAAAGAAATCACATAATTACATTGTTTCAGCCATTGTACCCACCCCAGCTTTCATCGTGCCCAGTAACCTTATAAGAATTAAATCCTATATATATTTTTCAACCAATATAATCCCATCATTTGGTGTTTGACTGTCTTGGTGCTTATTTCTGTCTTTGCTCTACAGCGGATTAAGGAAATATTTAATTTACAAACTAACATACAAGGAATTGAGAAAGTTAGCTTATGGTCATTCTGAGGGTGCTGAATCTAAGTAGACTGGTCTAGGCAGAGATCTGAAATTATGTGAGATGGAAAATTGGGTTTAATTAATCCTGTCTCAATATAACAATTATTTTATCTGGTTGAACAGGAATGGTGAACAATAAAAGATTCAAAGAAATATTCTTACTAAAATATTGCTCCCATGAACATTCTGCCATTTTTTAACAGGCTCGGAGTAAATCTGAAAAAGAAATAAATATGACCTTTACAAGAGTAATTTTGTAAGAAAAAAAAATCAATACATGAGTAGAAGATAGTAAAGACAATGTTTTAGAAAAGATTATCAAAGATTATAGAATTATCAGAGTTCTTCCTTTGGTCAATTTTCATCACATCTTGTATGGCAATGTAGAAAATATAACTAAATTTATTTTGATCAGTGTTAAGAGATTTCATTTTATTTTAACACTGCCATATTTAATGCTTACATTTTCAAACATTAATTATAATAACTTAAATTTAATTATTATTATTAGATAAAGCCTTGTCAATTCTTGTTCATTTGTCACTAGTATTTCTTTTATCTTCATTTCAATTGCTTTATTTCCACTAGTAGTATTAGTAGTAATATTATTTTGAATTTTATTATTATTATTATTAGATAAAGCCTTGTCAATTCTTGTTCATTTTTCCTTAGTATTTCTTTCATCTTCATTTCAATTGTTTTATTTCCACTAGTAGTATTAGTAATAATATTATCTGGAATTTTATTATTAGATGAAGCCTTGTCAATTCTTATTCATTTTTCACTAGTATTTCTTTCATTTTCATTTCAATTGCTTTATTTTAACCAGTAGTATTAGTAGTAATATTATCTTGAATTTTATTATTATTTTTAGATGGAGAATTGATTGGCCACTGTTTCTATACCCTGTGACTAATTCTTTAAGAAAAGCTTTTCCATTCAACCTTGTCTGAATAAATTTCTATTATGCCAATATCATGTTCTGATTTGTCATCAGCGGTCAATTCTGTCATCCTCAAACGCTGAAAAAGAGAGTGTCAACTGGGTCCAGTAATTCCTGAAATTTTTGTTTGTTTCAGAAATGGCCATTTTCCTCAAAACAATAAACCTCAGGCCATGAAAAAAAAATAAGTCGATACAAATGTCCTAGATTTTTATCTCTCAAAATACTTTCCTGTTGAGGTGATGGCAGCTTGGCCTTGTGATCTATAAATGATGACAGGTACAGATATGAATAAAATGTACTAAAATATCATTGAAACCATGGGATGGTCTAATTACTTCTATTTATCTAAAATATCAAGTCAAGTGAATTTACAGATTCAAGTTCAAACCAGCAGAACTCACACTTCAGATAGATTTTTTCTTATTTTTTTTTTCAGTGCTTTACTTCTTGTTACCTGAGCTATGTTTCAAAAGATTCAAGCATTTTTCTTGAAAACTAAATTGAAAACAGAAGCAAAAACTATTTTTTTTGCTTTTTGCTAGAAACCTTTGCACATTCCTAAAAATTCCTTACCTCTACTCCAGGTTCATTTTTAAAGTATTCTAACATATGAGACTTGCCAGCACCAATATTGCCCTCAACACAAATCTACAAAAGAATCAATAAAAAAGTGACAATTAGAATTTTAAAAAAATGTTTACATTATTTTTATACTAGCTTAAAAGTTACATTCCATGGGGACTCTAATTGGACTTCTGGCTAAAAACTAAAGGGACCTCTGGTCCAGTTTAGAAAACAGCAAAGATAATGTTAAAGAAATAACTTTGAATTCCTCAATTCACTCTACGGAAATCTCCCTGTAACTCAAATTTGGGCCGAAATTCCAAATCAGGCCAAAAATTGAGTTCTTCAAATCACAAACTCTGCAGAACTTCAAAACCTCACATCATGAAACTTCTCACTTTAATTCTGATTCTTTGGCGTTTTAAAGAAATAAAACTGATTTCCTCAATTCACAAAGTTTTGGAGATATTTTAAACTGAATTTAAAACAAATTTTTTTTTAAATTCACTAAGTTTTTGTGTTACTTTAAATTCAATACAAATTAAAAACTTAAAATCACTAACTTTTTCCAGTTATTTTAAAATTTGAATTTTTAACTGTTTCCTCTTCAACCAGATTTAAATTCCAATGCTGGATGTTCAAGCACCAGATAAAGGGCAGATTTTCAATCTGGGATCATCCAGTATAATATGCCTGTGTAAAGCAAGTATGGCTTGAGTTAGAGGGATTTCAGATGCACAGACAGACAAAACTTGTTTATTTATTTAGATTCAAACTAATATCCTCATCTTTGTTGTCATCAGCCATTGTAAAAGCTTCCTTAAGTGAATTTCAAACTGAACTAAACATTTTATTCATACAACAAAGCAAATTGTACTCATTCTGGAATTCATGTCTAAGGATATCTTTGTTCTTATGTAGTTCTGCTCAGTTACTGCTCATCTTGTTTCCATTGAATCTGAGTCAATACTAACTGTTCTTGGGATTGAATTCATGAAACTGCACTTTAATTCTCTGTATAGATACAGAAGGCAATTATCTCCCATTGGTGGAAATAAGTCACATGGGTTCATGTTATAAAGAAATACATGAGTTGGTCTATAAGATGAGCCCAATTTAGTAAAACTGTAGTAGTGAGTAAGCAACTATTTCACATCTTAATTCACTTTATTTATAAAACACAGACACACACTTAAGTCAGAGATATAAAATATCCAATAAAGTCTTTACTTACAGAAAATTTATTGATGTTTTTTAATGTTGGTTGAAAGTGAGAAAAACAATCTGCAACAAAAAAAAATAATTTGAAATAAAATAAAAGCATTTTCAAAATGGGTTTCAGGTAAAAGATATTTAAAATTTATTAATGTAAAATTATTTTAAATTAACTAACCTAAATTATTGGGGAGCATTTAAGCTAGCTTCTGCAAAGGGCTCTTGATTGGGCCTTCATCACAATAGGTAGGGAGGAGGAGATGTGATAGGCAACAATAAACTACAGAAGAACTCAAAACTAATCACTGCATTTAAGTATTGCATTTATATTTAAGCTTACCTTTTAAAAGTTCAATGATAATTCTTCTGCTGCAATTTAATTTAAAGACAATTTGATGTATGTAGGTCCTTACTTTCCATACAAACAATTATATTTATTTCATGGGCGACTTTCACTGGATTTGGCAATTAATGTTGATTATTCCCAAATTTATTTCCAAGTTATCAAAGTTGTTATCATACAAAAAAAAATTGTCACAAAAAATCATGTAAAAAAAAAGTCGCTGAAAACAATCGCAGTAATGAAAACTTGAGAATCCAAAATTTCAGGATTGTGGATCCAAATTCATCCCAGAATATTTTTAATTTGCTCATGGAGTCAGACTGATTCCAAAATGGTATGACATGTTGAACTACAGCCTCTAGGAGTAAAGTTGAAAAAGTGTGACACGGTGACACACTGACATTCACATTTATTATATAGATAAAACACAAAGAATAAAAGGTTTGTTTGTGTTGATGAAAACTGTAACTTACCTCATCCTAAACAAGAAACATGTTGCATGTATCACCTGCCTAGTGAAAAAGGAAAGCTCATGTAACTTCTCTGTCTTTATAGAGAATGTCATGTAAATATTTTGTTCCACCTCAATCAATCACTCAATTCCCAATTTACACATATGCAGTGTGCTTCTAGCAACAAGTCAATTGCTTTTTCATTTTCCATGTTTTGTGAAGAAAAAGGAATGGATTTTTTTATTACTTAAATGTTATTTTTGGTGGATACTATTGTGCTCCATTTATTTATTAAAAGTATATTTAATTTTTTCTACTGGCCAGAATAATCAAGAAATCTTAAAGAAAAATATACACTCTCTGGCAGTACTTGAACCTATGTTCCTCTAGGAGAAACTGTCATTAGATCTGATGTGCTTTGACCTCACTACTATGGAGTGCTTTGATCACCAAGCAAAGCTGAATAGTGACTTTAAACACAGATTTTTCTTTGATTCTGGAAACAAACATAACTGTTCAGTTTCATATACATCCTAACGTAAACAAAGCAATTTGTGAAGAAAGGGATGGATTTTTTATTTATTAATCCAACAGAATTTTATTAGTTAAACAGTGTTATTAGTAGATTCTCATATTTGAGAAGACACTGCATATATTTATTCAACAGTATATTTATTTTTGTTTATAAGCCTGAATAAAAATCCATCTCTTTCTTTACAAGTTGCTTTGTTTATGTTAAGATCTGAAATTGAACAGATACGTCTATTTTAAGAGTCAGAGAAAAATCTGCATTTAAAAAGGCACTATTCAACTTTGCTTGGTCATCAATGCACTCTGTTGCCAAGATCTAATGACCGGTTCCCTTAGGGGAATGCCCATTTGAATCTGGTCGGAGAGCACATATTTTTCTCGAATATTCAGGACAGTAGATGAAAATAAATATACTGTATCCACTAAAAATAATGTTTAAGTAATAAAAATTTTCTGTGGTGTGTGAAGGATGGTTTTGCAACATACATATGGTTCACAATACAGATTTTTTGGATTTTGCCACTTCTAGAATACTTTATCTACAAGTTATTTCGGTGATAATGACAGATAAGACATTTGACATCAAGCTTATACCTGAGTTTGATGGCTCAGTGACCAGACAGCCAATTACAAAAGAGATTGAAATAGCAAAACTTGTCTGAGATCTCTGTGACATATAAAAGTCATGTTATACCTGAGCTTGCCAGCTCATTGACCAAACAGCCAGTTACCAAATAGATTGAAATAACAAAACTTGTCTGGGATCTCTCTGATATATAGTAGTCATGTTTTCTTTTTGTGTCGCCAGTAGATAACACATGACATGCTGTCGCTTCTTTACCACATTTGTTCATTAGACAAATAAATTAAAAAATAAAATATCTGTCAAAATTTCTATTTTAGTCAAAAGCTATATTACTATTTATAGTATTATTATTGTACTGGATAATGAAAACACAAGACTTAAACTCTTATGTAACATTACCCCTTTATCACAGACAAAATGTTGCAAGCCTCTCACAGCTCTATTGGTGTTTCCATGGCAAGTGTTCTAACAAGGTTCATTCCTTAGTCTCACCACCCCTTAACTTTACAACTGTGGCCCCACATACACAGGTGTGAATCATCCCTGTTCCTTTCATACATCATTAGTAAGGAGTATGCTCCATTCAGACAGCTGCTTTGTGGTGTACAGACACCCAATAGGATGTTTTCACAATCACTACAATTCTGACCTTTTCAAGTCTAGGGTTAACCCTTATTTTTCTTATATAACTTCATGAACTTCACTTCTTACCTTTTCTTATGCTCATATAAAACTACACAGTAACCCTCTACCTTGAGAGGCCCTTGGGCCTTGTATTAGATGAACAATAATATAAAAAAATTGCATTTTATTCAATTTGGAACCTCACCAATTCCTGTCATACAGTGGGCATGTTATCCTAGGGCTCCCTGCTCTTTGTTGCTCCTTAGTGCACACTGCTAGTGGAGCAGCAATGTTTACACTGTAACAGCAGCAAGGAAAATGCTGTGATCAAGCTCAAACTTTAATCACATGACCACAATAGTAGTAAAGTGAGACAAACCTAAAGATATATTATGGCAAAGTGCAGATAATTTTTTAATTACCCTCATAATTACATGTACTCCCCATTTCTGCTGTTGGTGTGTAAACATACAAAGCAAACTTTGCCAACTTTCTACTGACTGGCCATTGATCACCCCCAACATTGCATTCTGATTTTCGATCTTGTCAGTATGCACTCATAAGCTGAGGAAGGTAACACAATGAAAGAAAAAAAACAGGTTGAGAAATAAGAACTCAAACCTGGTTTCCCATATTATATGTAGGTGTTTTATCCAGGGCTTCACCTGCCCATTTGGGTGGGTAGGTAGGTTATACTTGGGGCAACTTCAGATATATCAGCTCTTCTCTGTACCAACTCCTCACCCAGCTACTCATCCCAGTGTGGTGACTAGCAATACAAAATGGAGATTTCGGAACTGTTCGGAACATCCACTTCCCACCAAGGGCAATCCAGAATTCTCCCTGATCCCAAGCATGACTGTTAATATAGACCAGCACCTGGATGTAACCTATTTCCAGTTTTATTGCCACTTGACCCCCAAATATGCTACATCTTTCCCTTTACCCTTTGGTTAAAGTGGATGCCCCTTAGAAGACTGAAATTCAAAAGGAATCATCTATCTCCATCAAAAAGAAACACTCACAATGGAGATAAAATCACCTCTTCCCTTTCTATTTGGGCATCCATTGTACCATAGCTGCTGTTAAAGTGAAGTGGTTTTTCTTATTTGGTAAAGCTCTTTGTGATTTTGTAGCACCAGCCTATAGGGTCTGATGAACGACTATTTTCTTTAAGACTGAAAGGATTCATTCATTTAAAACAGTTCTTTAATCTGTCTATATTTCTGAGATGAGGTATTATGTACAGTATTTACATTAGTTGGACTATTGTCCTCATCTTTGTCGCCATATTTGTCACAACGTTTCGGCCGTTGTATGCTCCGGCCTTCTTCAGCAGGAGATAACTGATAACTGACATCCATCAAACATGGCACGTGGAACTAGAACAGTCTACCCCAGTGATCGAAATAAAGGGTTCAGTTCGAAATTCCAACCACCTGAAGAAGGCGGGGCGTAAACGGTCAAAACGGCGGCGAAACGTTATGGCGACAAAGATGAGGACAATAGTCCGACTAATGTAAATACAGTTCTTTAATCATTGAGACTTTTTCTCATTAGACAATTATATATTTACCATTATTTGCAATGACTAATTGACACTTATCAAACAGCTCTTAGACTCTTTTGAGTAAAATGCCACAGTTTTGATGAGAAGAAGTTTTTGGCAAAATCTTAAATTTGGTTTGCATTAAAGAGTTTTCCCTATCAAAACATTTTGCAAAGACTGAAAATGGTAGTAATCAGTGAGTGGTTGCAAGGTCAGATGAAAACAGTGGGTGAGATAAAACAGACTGACCAAATTTTAAATTTTTTGCCATGTTATACTCTTGCATTGTCATCAATGAGAACAGCATTTTTCCTATTGACGAATGCAGAGTGGAAAGTAATTTCACCTATCACCTGGTTCACACTCCTTCTGGGTTTTTAAACAGGTTTATCCCTTGTTTCCTGTTTATGATCGGGTTTCTGGATCTTTCTAAATTCTAATCAGCTCTATACTTCTAACGTCACAGCCTAAACTATGAAATTTAAATTATTATTGAGTTTCCGGTTCTTTTTAAAGTCTTTTCCTTCCCTTTCACTTCCAGTAGCCCCCCTTGCATCTTAGTGGCTTTACCACCTTGCTTGGGGTGAATTGATTAAAAACTAAGGTGAAGTTGGCAAAGTCCATAGGTAACAAAACACTGATAAACTTTTGGAACTTTTAAAACAAACTTTCATGAACATGTTGCAGCTACTGGATCTATAAATGTGCATTTAGTGTTTTATTGCTACGTTACGAGGTAGTTTATATGGATAGGAGTGGAAGATGACAGTTTATTCTAGACTTGAACTGGTTAACATTGTAGTGATTGGGGTAAAAACCTCTTGAGAGTCTGTCCCACAGGCCAGTGGTTTGCCGGAAGAAGCTGTTCAAAAAGAACTACTTGCTGATGAAATACAGAGGGAATGTAGGTGGTTTTCTACTATATAAGTGGCATGGCAGATCTTAGCCATAAAGGTTAGACCAGGCCGAACCAAAGAGTGTAGT